CCTCTTCATAACATTGTCTAGTTTTTTCAGTCATCTAGTAAAAATTACGGTCGTCATCCAAGCATTCTTGTTGACACCCTTTTCTGTATCATTCATGTTGGCAAATTCCGCCCTTTTTTAAAATACACAAGAAAAAATAAAAAATTAAATAAAGAACAAAATCTAAAAATCGACGTATAACCGATTCTGTGCGTCGTATAAACGATATATTTTTACATTAAAATGAATGGGAATGATTTGGGACCACACTAAAACGTCGTATAAATGTAAACGTCGTATAAGTGATCGTCGTATAAACGATGCTCCACTGTACTACCAAAACTTTGTCGAAAATTTCAATATTACTTACGTTGCGCAGCTGAAAAACCAGAATGGATAAGCGATAAAAGTCCAATAACAATAGCAATTCTTCCTATACTACTCTTCATCGTAAAGAAATCAACAAATTAAATATATATACACTGAAATAAATGTAAAAATTTTCGAAATTCAGTATTTTGAGACTTCATCGGCCATTATCGTGATTTATTTATATTTATTTATAACTACTTAATCAATGCATCAATAATTATTGGTTAATTTGAGAGACCTCCCTTCCTAGGCAAGATGAAAATTACTTTGAGTTCCATCAATCAATCAATAAAATGCTTTTACGATCCGGATCATCACTCAAATGCGAATCAGTCGAACGAGAGCATTCAAGGGGCCTCAGACGCCCAGTTCAACGAACGAACGACAGCATTCGTTCGCTTTCCACGTTATCTGTAATTGACTCATGTACTTGATTGTTTACAATTTGTTAAACTTCGATTTTTCACTGCCAAATTTGAACTTTGACTAACACATTTCAATGTAATTTATGTGTAGGTATTAAAACATAAAAAAATGGTTGTAACAAAATCATCAGGACGAAATGTTATTCTTGGAGTGGATATTGGGACTACAAATATTAAATGTTTTGCTTATAATAGTTCTATGGAAGTCATTGCAAAGGCGAAAGCAGTGGTAAAAAAAGAAATTTTATAATTTTGATTCCTCATATTTAATTAAGCTTCTATAAAGTTTTGTGTTGCTTCTTTAGTTAGCAAATTTATTTGGCTCTTTTGTTTAAAACTTTTGTATTTATTAGCAGTAAAAATATAAAAAAAATTTTTTGATGCACTATTGAAATTAATTTCTTTAGACTTTATTTCCTTCTTTTATTTGTTTCAGCAAAGTCTGAATGTACTTTCCAATTTTAATTTTTTTTTTACATAATAACATTTGGTAGGTAGGTATACTTTATTTATGTTACACTAGAGCTGCAAAATTGGCTATTGGTGATGGTCTAAGAAACATCCCTGAGGATGATCTGAAGACTTGAACTCACAATTTTGAACCTTTGCAGAGGGGATGTTTCCCTGCTTTGGTAGCACACCATGGGCGCAAAGCGAGCACTTTACGGTAGGACAGTTTAAGAAGGACCGCTACCGTCTTCCTCTTTCTCAGTCCCTATGCAAAGTGGTCACCCACCCGCTAACTGATGCTTGACTTCTGTGTTCTGCTGGGAACTGTCTTTCTGATTAGTCCACTGCGGGATGAATGAAATTTTCAAAAACTGGTGGTAAAAATAGGCATTAAATTTTTTTTTGGAAAAAGTCTGTCTCTAATTTCATCCCGAGGTTTTATTTTTGGGGAATTATCATAACTGTGCCAAGTTGGTTGCGAGTTCTGTTTGCTCCCCGAGGAAGGAAACGCCTCTTCCTTCTCATTGGCTCAAATTCCCTGACTACTCCTTGGAACTTACCAGTTAAGATATATCAGTTATTAAGTAGCCGGTTCCAATTCCTTGTTCTTAAATAACATGTATGAAATATTATTTCTTGAATAATGGTGTTAATTCTGACCAATTGAACTTAGTTTGCAAGTGTCTAATCAAAAGTTATTAATCCTTTTTTTTAATTAAAAAAAATCTATTGACTCAAAATTTATAAGATTACATTTGGATAATAGTTTTAAAAAATCTTCAAATGTGCTGAAATATTTTTTTTTTTGAAATATAAATTCAGGTTTGATTCAAAACATTTTATTCAATTTTAAATAGATTGAAGATTTAATTGAACTGTGCATTTTTCAATACAAATTGCATTTAAGAAATTCCTCACAAAGAAATCAATATTGTTATAAATCAAGATCTGAGGAAAACGTTTGTAAAAAGGCTGAGACATTTAAGATGTTTGACTTTAACCTTATTTTTATTCATTTTTAATTAGGATGAAGATTTTATGAAAATTGCCTTAAAAGTTTGCAATTTCAGGTGTAAGGAAATTTTATAGAGGGTATTTTTACTGCAAAAATTGCTTTTATCACTAAATTAATCATTTCAGATGTGAAATTAGGAGAAAAAAAATTTAAATTTTTGAATTCCAAATGCATACTAGAAATTCTTCACAAAAAATCCATATTGTTACGCTAATAATGAACTGAAACAGATTTGAGGAAGTTGGTTAAGAAAGCCCTTTATATGTTAAAAAAAAATTGCCTCACTTTTTGCTTTTTCAGATGTAAGAGATTTTACAAAATCGTTTTTTGTCAAATTAAACATTTAATCAGAAAAAGGTGATAATTTGCATGTATTTCAATTTGAAATATATATAAGATTCAATACTTTTATGCAAATAATAAATTAAGATAGATCTGAAGAAATAGACCTGAGAAAGCAATTAATACATTTAGAGTATTTTACTTTAACCTCATTATTTTATTCATTTTCAATTAAAATGTAGGTTTTATTGAAACTACTCTAATATTTGCAGTTTTAAAAGTAATGAAAGTTTAAAAAAAAGTTTTATTTCATTATCATATGTGGCACTTATTCATTTTCAATAAGGATAAAGATTTTAATGAAACTACTTCAATAGTTTGCAGTATCAAAAGTGATAAAAATTCTGGAAAATTAGTTTTATTTAATTTTAATCCAATCAAATTTGCTTTAACTTTATTATTTTATTCATTCTCAATTTGAATGAACATTTTATTGAGACTACTTCAATGGTTTGCAATTTCAAAAGTGATTAAGTACAAGAAAAAAGTTTTATTTTATAATTATACCGCTCAAAAAGAGTGCAATTTTTTATAACATTACTAAATAAGATATTATATAATAGTATAAGAAAAAAAAGTAATGGTGGATTAAAAATAAGTAATAAGAAAATCTTCACTGAAAAATCGATATTTTTACACAAATAATAATTAATTGGGGAAAATCTTTGGAAATGGATCTACAAAAGTAAATTATACATTTAAAATAATTTATCCTTAGAAGGCAAAAGTGAGCTATTTTGTTAATATGAAATACATTTTAGATGTTTTTGTATATAGTTTTAAAAATTTAAATAAACATGTATTATAAAATTAGTTATAGTGTCTTGACATAAGAGTTTCTTGAGTTTGATAATATCAACCTGCACTGTAGTATATGTAAAAGTAAAATGTAATTTATATTTTAGAACTCTTAAGAGAACTTTTTCTTATATTTGTTCTTTAGTATTTATGCTATTTTTCACCTAATTCATTTGTTTAATCCATCATGATTGCATCTTAAAAATATATATAGTTCATTTATTGAGAAAATTATATTGTCAGCAATGTTAACTTTTATCATTATTAACAACAGTTAAACTCGAAAAAAAGTTGTTAGCAAGTATAATACTAGTTTCCATTGCACGTATTTCAATAATAAATTTGGTGTCTAATTTAAAAATATCTATAACTTTGAACGCAATAAAAGAATTTCACTTTGCTACAATATATATAGATGTTGCTTAGCAATCAGGGCTGGGTTTTTGACGTCANAAACTGTCAAAAACTGTCACATGTCAAAAACCTGCCAACCCTGTTAGCAATATAGATGTTGTTAAAAATTAAATCAAATCATTAAAAAAATGCATTCAAAATTTCATTTGTCGATTTTATTTATTTTATTTTTTTTTGTGTGTGCTAAGAATTGAAAATAAAAGCACTTCTGCGAAAACTCCGAACAAGTCAATACAATCATTGCCATCAGGTCAATGCAAAAAAGTATTTATATTTCTTATTTATTTAAGACAATGCTCTTCACATTCATAAAATTTAAAAATTAAATTCCAGCTTAGAGTTTTAGATTAAAACTAACTTTGAAAGATTTAATTAAAATTATTATTAAATTTTGCAAAGAGAATTTTGTGTCTTAATATTTAATATTTGTGTTGCATCAAATTTGCGAAGAAATTCCCGAATTTTTTAATAAAAATTTAAATGAATATATTTCAAATCTGATGCAATTCTAAAATTGCCATGACATTAAAAAAAAAAAATTCGCATTGAGTCTTATATTGCATTTTAAATATAACCATGTCGCTAATATGGTAATTATCATTGTTTCTGACATAAATATCAGAAATTATTATTATCTCTGATTTTTTAATATTTTTCTGTGAAGCACACTTTTGTGTAACCCCCTTGCATGTTTATCGGATCATGTGTTAAAGGGGATGAGTATCATGCTTTACACCACAAAAACAAATAAATATTTTTTTTAATGATGTTAAAAGACATTTTTGAACCATCTTGTAACATTAAATTTTTTTTAACAAAATAAATTAATATCCCCCTTTTGTTCCACATATCTCAATAATCAAAAACTTCAAAGAATAACTTTTAAAGACATATTAGCCTTTTCTTTAAGAGACTAGTTTCAGAAACATTTCATTCACTTTTGTAACTTTTTTAAATTCTTCCTGACCTTGCATTTTTTAAGAAAATTTTGAGATCTTTTTTCCTTTTAAAATACAAACTCTGGTCTGCTGCTGTTTCATAATAGAGAGGAGGAAGAACATTTTTTTCTCCCATTTTTTAGGCAATGGCAAAGGAGAGAGAGGAAGGTAAGTTTATTTTTTTTAAACATTTTTTATTAACCCATTTTTTAGAGATATAGATATTAAATAGGTATTTAAGAGAATTATTCCCTGATATATTTTTAACATAACTTTTTCTTTTCTGCATTCTTTAAAACCTTATGTTGAGTAAATGATGTGTTAAAATTTTCCCTAATTCGGAGCTATGAAGTTCAACAAGTTCAAATTTATTATTATTTTTTTTAAATTTTTTTATTTTATTACTTTTTATTTTATTTTTTTAGAAAAACATATTATTCACACTAACCGCTAAAAATATTCCTCCCTTTTCCATTGTGCTTTTAGGATAATTGAGATTGATAATTTAATTCTCGACCAATGTAGCGAATGAGGATTTTGATATATTTTTATTATATATTGATATTAATAATTTAATTCTCGACAATGTAGTAAATGAGGAGGATTTCGATATATTTTTATTATCTTTTTTAAATCAGCTTTTTCACATTTTTTAGAAAAATATACTTTTACGGACGGTTCTAAAGATATGAAGCTTAAAAATATTCAAAATTAGAGATATAGAAAATTCTCCCTTAAATTATAGATACTTCAATCATTTATAATCTCATTGAAGCAAAATGAAAATTACTTGAATACTTTCAGATATATCAAAGGGTCTAGGATGAAAAATATTTTTTCAGGCTGCTTGCAAATTATGTCTGACAATTTGTATGTGTTGCGTATCCACTGTAGCTTGTATTATAAAAGCAACCTGTTTCAAAAATCAATATAATTTATTATTTTACGCATAATAAGCTTTTCAAAAAAAGAGAGGGCAAAAAAATATGAGAAAATTGTGTAGTTTTTTCCCAAAAATCAGACAAATTTTGATTCAAAAAGAGACATCCAAATATATTCATGACAGAGATATTAATACAAGAATGAGTCTTTTTTGTAATTATGGCTTAGCATCTTTAGCAATAACACTGTTAGAAATGTTTTGTAATTTGTCTCAAACATTAAGTCAAAAATCTGAATTTATTAAAAAAAAAAGTATGTATTTGCTCTTTAAATCGCGTATTAAATTATTATTTGCACTTGCAGGGATTAAATTGCTTATCTTAAATGTAC